TGTCAATTTGTTGTAATTTCCTTAGTCGCATTTGCTCACGTCGTTCCATTATTCTTTGACGTTGCTTTTCGAACTCCTGCTCATAACGGCGATACATCTCACGGTCGGGATGATTAGCATTCGCAAGCTTCCATTGCTCGAATTGTTCTTCCCAACGTTGGAATTGAAGATCAAAACTCTTTTCGTCCAAATCAGGTCGTGGTTGTTTTTGCTCTGTTGTYAAATGATCTGCTTCTGAATCACAATTGCTATGATTCTGACTATTCCGCTCATTTTGGAAATTCTCTTCAGGGTTGAGTTTTCTATTGAAATTACTATTTGGATTTCGATCATTTGAATTTGATCTCCGATTCATATTGTTCTGCCCAAAGTTTCGTTCGTTTGAATTCGATCGTCTATTATAATTATTTGGACCAAAACTTGTTTCATTTGAAGCAGATATATGATTAAAGCTGTCATTTGAGCGGTTATTACGACTATTTCCTCGATTTGAAGAATTGAAATTGTTGTTCATTCCAAAGCTATCTCCATTGTCTCCTTGTCCAAGATTTCGCTCATTTGAAYGAGATCTCGATAAAAATGGATTGTTCGGACCAATATTTTTATTAATGTTGTCAGGTCCCATATTAATGCTATTACGTGGACTAATGTTGAATTCGWTCCTATCTGAGAAACTGTTAAAATTACTTCTATTTGATAAGTTGCGATCATTTGAATTAGATCTTACATTCGAATTTTTATCCTGGGTAAAATTATCTTCGGTATTTTCAATGAAAGTATTATTCAAATCATTATTTCTACCATTATTATCATACCTTTGCCCATAAAATGGACCATTATTTCCAGGCCGTTGTTTGAAATTACCACCAAAGTTCCGCCCATTTGGACCAAATCTTTGATCCATGTTATTATTTCGACTTTGCATCATGTTATTTCCACCAAAACTCCYTTCGTTTCCATCGTTCTGTTCATTATTGTAAAAATTATTGTTTGAATAATTTCTTTGATTTCTATCATTGTTACCAAACTGTTCACTTCTATTACCCTGACGATTTCCGCTCTGATCATTATTTTCATACTGATACCGCTGATTACTAAAATTATCATTATTTCTACGGTTATTATTATTGAACAACTCTTGGAAATTATGACCACTGGAAGTTTGATTACGATTAGCATTCCATTGAGTAGACCCTTGAATCTCATGACGACTCTGAGCAACATTTTCCATTTGATCTTCGTTATTATTTCCACTTATATTATCCTTTTCACTGTCCCAACGATTATTTGCATTTTTATTTATGTTTCGGTTCTCAAATGAAGCATTCATATTATTAACATTTGTAAACTCATATTCATTTAWATTATTTTGATCTTCATTTCTTGCATTCCAGTTATTTTGACCTCTTTCTTGAGAGATGAACTGGTTTCCCGACCGAGTACTACCAAAATTTGTTTCAAAGTTGTTTTTATTTTGATTCCATTGAATTTTGGGTTCATCTTGGTTTTGCTTAATTTCATTACCTTGCTGATTGGAATTAGATATCCATGAGTTTGCACCTTGACCACGAAAATCATTTCGATCAGTAGACGATTGATGTACGTTATTATTGTAGTTGCTACCGCCACCGTGTTGGTTCGAGTTACTATTCGGATTACCAAAAGTTGGCATACTAAGATGTTGTTTCTGCGTAACTTGTGGCATATTAGACATTGGTTGAGGTTGAGAATTCTGTTGTAACTTTGCTACCATTGGAGGCGGTTGTTGAAAATTGGGAATTTGACCAAAGTTAGGAGGTTGCTGATTAAAGCTTGGAGGTGGTTGATTATAATTGAATTGTTGTTGCGGTTGCTGATATGAAGCTGTCCATTGAGGATAATTCATATTTGGGAATTGCCCGATTGGAGGAGGTTGATGTATTGGGGCAGAACCTTGGTTAAGAGGTAAAACTTGGCTCTGGGCCGAATGCGACTGAATTGACACAGGCGGTGGTTGCGTATAGATTTGAGGTGTTCCAGAAATTTTAACGTTTGTTTGTTGTCCATCAGAGGGAGGCGGAGGTGGCGGCTGTTGTATCGACTGTACCTGCAGAGGCTGTGCTGGAACTGGGGCTTGGGGTTGAACCTGTTGGTAGTAGTTATTAAAATTCGTACTTTGTCCTGTTGAGGATGCAGCGGCCATTTCCCTTTTATACTAAGTTCGAAATATAAAATATTTTATAATATAACTTACAATATAAATTATTCTTTATATTACCTGTTCACCGTACTGGGCGTGCCACTTTGCGTATTCTTGTTGATAAGCTTGCCACTGCTGCCAGTGTTGTTGTAAGGCATATTGTTGTTCCGGTGTCAAAGCGGCATACTGAGCTTCAGTATACTGCCCATATGGTCCACTTGGAGTTGATGCTTGAACAGTAGCGCTTGTGGTAGACACACTACTAGGTAACATTGGTCCTATAATTGGTGCTGTGTTCCCAGTTGTTTGTTCCGTTGGAGCCGGAGGAGGTGCTGTTGTTGGAGGCGGCGGAGCAACGGAAGGAGGTGGAGGTTGAGGTGGCGGGCATTGTGGTGCCGGTATTGGCGGAATTGGAGCACCAGCCGCGAGTCCAGCCCATTGATTCCACATATCCCTTGATAAAATTATGTTCACTTAACTAGTTAATTATTTCGTTCAAATCAAAGGGTTCTCTGAAAAATTTTTTTTTTTTTTTCACTTTTATGTTTTTCAATGAGTCTACTTTTTATTGGAATCGTTAACTTATTACTTCACTTTTTTGGTAAAACTAATTAGTAAATGTGGACAAAAACAATAGTCACCAATTATTTTGTTGAATAGTCGCCATTTTTACTCCACGAAAAAACTATATATGGAAAAATCACGATAAATTTAATGTTATATATATTAAAAATCGGCTTTTTTTTATCGATTTTAAAGATGACAATACAATACAAACCAAAATKCAGATTATTTTTAAAATGTGATATAAAATCCTCATTAATAATTTATGAAACATAAAAATGTATGTAACGTCTTTATTAATAACTAGTAAATAAATCCCATTGTAATACATTTAAATACTTTAACACTCGAAATAATTGCCCAAAAGAAAAAATTAAATTATTGTAGATAAATAAAGTGGCAACATTTACATGTTTCCACGTGTAGAGAATAAAATAAATGAAATCACAAATATACCAGAGATAAAAATATACAATGGCCGAAAAGAAAGAAAAKATTGGATATTTAGTTGCTGATACTACAGCTTTTATTAATGCAGTTCAGCTTAATGTAAGTATAATTTGGTTATTGTGGGCTATTTAAACGTTTGAATATTTCTACAGGATTATGCTAAAAACGTTTTAACCGTCCCAGATGTTATTAAAGAGGTGCGTAATAAACGTCAGATCCGTCGGCTTTGTGTGTTACCGTTTGATTTGCAAGTACGAGAACCTCGTACTGATAGTATAAAACATTGTGTTGATTTTGCAAAAAAGACTGGKGACTATGCCAGCTTATCTGGCATCGACATTAAGGTTATTTCGTTAACATATGAACTAGAAGTTGATAATGTTGGCTCTGCACATTTACGTACGGAACCTGTTRTGTCAAAAACAATCGCATCTAAAGAAAAGCCTGAAGAGTTTCAAGAGAATGCTAAACTAGCAGGTTGGTATAATCCGGAAGGTGAAGAGGAATCTAGTAGTGACGACAATGATGAATATTCTGAATCTATTAATCATATCAACGACAAAGAAGATGCCGTCAAAAGTTTGATAGAAGATCAAATAAATGACGTAAACGGCAACCAGGGTCKTAATGATGTAACACAAGAAGAACTAGATAAATTCTTTGAAAAATTAAACTGTAATGCTGTTGATAATAACGAAGTTTGCGATTTACTTGTACCAAAAAGCACGGATCTTCTAGATTCACAAATTGTTAGTGACGRTGATTCTAAATCAATTGATGAAATTGACGACACACCAAATCAACACGTTGCACAGAAAACAGATGAGTGTGATAGCATTCAAGGTGGTTGGATTACACCATCTAATATTAAAAAGGTAAAGAAAAGCTTAGAAGGTAAAGTGGAATCTGATGTTGTTCCTGTAGTCGCATGTATGTCAACAGACTATGCACTTCAAAATGTTTTAAAACAAATGAATTTGCAAATTTGTGCGCTTGATGGACGTATAATTAAACATTTACGCACCTATATATTACGATGTTATGCCTGTTTTAAAACAACAAGTATAATGACAAAAGTTTTTTGTCCAAACTGTGGCAATAAAACCTTAAAACGAGTTGCTGTTGCTCTGGATGAAAACGGGAAGCAAGTGGTACGTAGTTTCGATTTCAGTAGATTACTTTTAAACTGTGTATCGCCACCTGAAATGCAAAATAACGTATCATCAAAAAAATTCAAAATTGAGTGTCTTATTGATTACGCTTCACTACTTCAAATTATATACATATTACATTTGTTCAACATTTTCAGGTTCAGCAYTCAGATATAAACTAGTTTTAACCAATATTCATTTTTTTTTACTCATGTTCCATTTTATTTCGTGTTTCATTCATGCCACTGTAAATTTCCGAAAATGTTACGTTATTTGCATTTCAGGTGACGATATATTAAACCTTTTTATGATAAAAATATTTTTTTACCATTTTCTAGATTCACATAAATACACGCCGTCCCCTAACATCTAAATATAAGAATCAAAGCTTACCAAGATTCCAAGGAGGAAAACATTCTCGTAACCCAATACTATTTGAAGACCAGCCTATACCGAGGCAGATGCCATCACGTGTAGCAAAGACYAAGACCAATGCTTTAGATGAAGATTACATTGCCGGATTTTCGCCTTTCGTAATGCGTGACGTAGATTCAAAATCTGCTAGGCTGCGTTCTAAAGGCAACCTTAAGGAATGGGCTAGGAATAATACATTTGAAGAAGATCGGCGAAGAAAACATTACAATAGAGTTTATAAATAGACTTCATTGTTAAAATATACTTTTTTTTTATTTTGCTTGGTAACGGGTTATCACTCTACAATTTTAAACACATATCACAATCGTGATACTCTGGTAAGTTAAGTTGAAACTTTTCCTGGAGCGCGGGTGGCACAAAACGTCCACCTAAATAATGGTATTTTCCTTTAAACATTTTAGCGCATAGTTTAGGTGCCGTTAGGGATATTAGCATATCCGGTTCGAAATCATTTTCTCTTATTTTTCCTTTTTCTACATCCCATCCGCTTGGTATATCAATRCTATTCAAATCAAATTATTAGTTGAGGTCATCAAATAAATGTTTCCATAACATACCTTGCTATAGGAATTTTTGTATTCAGGAGGATCTCTGTAATAGGGACGAATGTTTCTCGCACGGGTGGTTTAAAACTGAAGCCAAATAGTGCATCAACAATTAAGTCGTAGCATTCATTTGTACTTTCAAGAGTGGGACTTGAACGTAGAAACGATATTCCATTGCTCTTGCATTGGTGACTTAGATTTTCATACAGTTGTTTTGCAGTGGGTTTTGGATAATAAATKGTTGGTTCGTATTTCATGAAAGATAAATGCCGGGCACAAACTAATCCATCTCCACCATTGTTTCCAGGTCCACAACACACTAACACTCGCTTGAAGCAATCAGCAGGGTAACATTTTGCTATAGCATGGGCACAACTCAATCCAGCCAATTCCATAAGTTGATCTATACTAAATTTGTATTCTTTGAATAGTTCCTCATCAATTTTGACTGCTTCAGTTTGTGTTAAGAATTTCATATTTGGAGACTTTTTGCCGAAGAAAATTCTATATAAATGAACGTGAATACTAATGATTCTGGATACGATCTCTACATGCAGGCTCAATATACTTATTACCGGGTTGTGTAATGAAGTTGCGATAACTTTAACCAATTTCCAGAACTCAGAACTAAACTACAAAAAGAGTGTTTATATAGATGGAAAAACTTAAGTACCATTGTTAACGAGATAGATCATTTTCGAAAATTAATTCTTAATTATTTATTATTATTTATCTCACCCGGTCAAAAAAAAAATATATAGCCGGATTGCTGTCAAAACAAAATAAGACATCGTTTTTCAGGGTTGCACCAAATAAGTCCCTGCATGTTAAGAATATTTAATCTTTTTTTCTATTTGTGGTCTAGTATAGTTTTTTGTTGAAGGTCAAATTTGTCATGAATTGAGACAATTTATTATATATGAGAAATTGTATGGATTTTTTTTTTAAATACTTCTATTAGGTGCAAGTATAGTATAAAGATATGATACACTTTTCTCATTTACTCCTTTTTGAAATCATTTCAGCACCACCGAATCTCAGATATTTGAACACTGGTTGTGTTTTTTTTTTCAAAATGGCGTAAATTGCTAAATTGATAAAACGCAAGAATTTAGAAAAGACAAAAAAGTTGCATCGATTTACATTCAATCTTAGTTATAGTTTTTAACTGTCGCTTGAGTACTGTTAGTAGAAAAATTGTTTTCAAGTTTAAAAATAGAGAAATGCCAATAATAAAAGAAATTTAAATCAAGTATATAACATTTCGGATAGCTGCGTATGCACTAAATGCTGTTAAATGATACGATTATTGGGAGAAAAGTTTGAGATCTCTCAGTGGATTATGAATCAAGTTTCTAACACATCTGAGACGACTAATACCACCATCACATTACTTGATACCAGTGATACCAGTGCCTCATTTTCAATGGGCGGCCGTAGCTCGATTCATAGTAATGGGACTATAGGTAGCARTAATCAAGCTGACCCATCCATCTCCTCTACGCCAACAACAACTCCCGCTCCACAAATGTCAAATAAAGTATTTAACTACAAAGATAACACAGATACTGATTTCGGAAATTCCTTAAAATGTGAGGATATATGTTTAAGTGTATGTCGACATCTCAAGATTTTACCCCCGACTCGACTATTATTTGGGCTACGTGTGATGGACTCTGAAAATGAATGGGCTGCCCCGGGTAAGGAATTGAAACCTGGGGTCCGATACTGTTTCCGCATGAGAATTAAAGTCCCAAATATGGAYACACAATTAAAAAACCTGGATAAACAAGCGTATGAATATTTGTACTGGCAGATTCGTTACGATATATTAAACGAAAAAATTCCGGAAATAAGGAATCCAGAAAAAAAAGATAATGTTATGGGTTTTGCTGTCATGCACATGTGTATCGATTTACAAGCAAAAAGTTCTGAAGCCGAAAGGAAGGAAGGCTATAATCGTGAAATAATTGGGAATATAGAAAATAAATATAAAGAATATCTACCCCAAACGCTTTTAAGAGAGCACAGATATTTTGTTAAATCCAAAATTTGTGCAAAATTCAAGGATGTACGAGAAAAAGACATTTTGTTCACAGAATTTAAATTTTACTATATCGCCGATGTYTGTAAGTTGGCACCAAGTTATTTAATGGAAGTTTATTTTGTCACAGTAGATTATATCCCAAATGTTGATTTGATTTCCGTACATTCACCTGCAATTTGTAATGATGGCAATGGGGATAACAAAACAAGAGTATATGTTAAACTAGACACCCATGATAACTCAGAGCCAGGTCTGAAGATTTCGCTGAAAAAAGAAAAAGTAAGTGTATAGAGCACTTATATATGTATATTTACCTTCAACATTTTATTTCACATTTCTGTAATATATTATGAGATATGAAAAATATTTTTCCTTAATTACTAATCCACTCCTTATCTTTATCAGGCACAGTGGACGCTATTGGCAAAGATTGAGGATATTTTTGCGATATATATCGAGGATAATGTGTGCGCGTGTTTGGAGATAACGGGGCTACCACAAAGTTATTGCATGAGATTTAAATCAAAAGTCGAGTTAGAATCTTTTATTACATACATAGGAGGGTACTTGAGGTACGTTAATTCGATGATGAGAGATTGTAAATTTTTCCAAAATACATTTCTTAGTTTTATAATTTATTTCGTTAATATAATTTTATTTTTAATACTTTCCTCTTAAGGCTAACCTCTAAATGGTTAAAGGATTTGTGTAGCGATTATACAACACCATCATTGAATGAATTGATCGACTTAAAATGCCATGGGCCAATAGGGTATGTTATTTGTTCGCATATACATTTATATGCCATGAATAATGTGACTAATTGTATTTGATTATCACAGTGGAGCATTTTCCTTTGCTAAATTGAGAGAGAAATCAAAAAAAGGCTCAACCTGCCTGATAAGGCAATGTGAGAGAGAATACGACGTGTATTATATCGATATAAATACCCAGACGTAAGTAAATAGCGTAGCTTAACGAATATGTTATAAAATGTTAATTGAAATTTGTAGTAATATCACATTACTTTTTTCYTTCAGGTCAACAAAAGGTAGGTTAGGCGAAAACATAATAACTACTAAAATTACCCTACAAAACAAAAAATGGTTGTTACACGGAAGTGAGGGCCTGAAGGAATTTGAAACTCTAAAAGATTTGAAGACTTCAATATCCCCACAAATGCCTTGGATTCCGCCATCAGAATATGGTAAYACTCGATCCTATTTGCATTTTGAGTTTTTTTTTTTTTAAACTATGTGATATTCGATTATTTAGATTATGCACCACTTCTTTTAATTTGTTTGCCAAAAAATCTACATCCAAARAAGACTGACACTGAATTAAGTGAAGCTGAACTTCGAAGAAGACGAGTTCAAATACTTGATCGGAAGCATGACCTCCGATGGTACAAAAGTAAGTTAAGGGGTCAATTATTCAAAAACGTCATGAGTAAAATAATGTTAATACATTTAATAAAGATACGCAGTATGTTTGTGATGACGCTAAAATGATGATAATGCAAGGAGACTGGGTCCAAGAAGGTAGTTGTAAAGACGTTAATGTTATGCTCAAGGTGTTTTTTCCAGAAATCAATCTTAAGGTAAAAAACTTCTTCAATAAAACATTTTATATGCGTACCAAATAAATAAATAATGTTAATTTAATCCTGCATTTATAGGATATCACATGTTTAACTAGTATTTGCAGTCAAATTTTTTCGGCACAATTTCTGAAACTCTATGGTTTGACTTTGACCACTCCTTATACTATGGTAATGGAATATGCGCCTTATGGAAATTTAGATAAGTTTCTGCGCAAACATAAAGATAAAATCTCTTTCCAAATGCTGATATCGATTGTGTTTGATTTGGTCAGAGGAATAGTTTACCTGGTAAAACAAATGAATATTCAATATTTGTCCAAACAATTTCCACCAATATTATTTATTTGTTTCACACACAGAGTGAGAAAGGAATTTATCACGGCTCAATACGCTGTTCCAACATGTACGTAACAAAATTTGATCCTAGATCTCATACCATTGAGACAAAAATTGGTGATCCCGGACTTCGTCGTAGTTATTCAWACGAAGAGTAAGTTAGTTTCCCTTTATATACACATATACGTTTATGCTTAAATTACATAATTTTTATTATTTAGCTTGCCGTGGATACCACAGGAATATTATAATAATCTCAAAGATATCCATGGTGATACGTACGTAGACGCATGGGCTTTCGCAACGACTCTATGGGAGATATTTTCTTATGGAAAATCTCCTTTGGAAGAATTGAATTGTACGGGAAACCCAAAGAAGATTGCCGAAAAACTACAAATGAATCGTTCAAAGAGAGATGGTGGCATTTTACCAAAACCAACTGAAAATCTGGACGATTCGATATATTGCATCATGCTCGATGGTTGGCAGTCGGATGCACACAAACGATTTAATTACATTAAAATCTTTGCAATCATTAATGGTTTCAAAGAAAGGAGAACGGTTAATTACGAGTCAGTTAACATCGATAAATCATTCTATGATAGCGACACTTGTTCTGAAAATAATGAAAATAGCGGAGATGATATTTCATTAAACTCCTGTCCAGGACCATCACCCGCACAAAACCAACGATTTTCACATTTTGATATGTCTTTTAATAGCCCATTCGATGACACTACTTTTGTAATACCGTTTTCGGAGGGAAAAGTAATTGTTGATAAACGAATAGGTGACGGTCATTATGGTATTGTGTATTCAGGCATAATATATTACAAAAAACCCGATAAAGCACCGGAGAAAGTGGCTGTTAAAACATTGAAGCCCGAGATGACGAAGAATATAAAAGATTTTCTGCGCGAAAGTGAAATAATGCGGGTATATAAAACTACAACACCTCTTTTGAAATAGAACATTGATGTAGACACATATATAATTACATTTACAGGGTCTTGAGCAAGAAAATATTGTAAAAATTAAATATTCAATCGAAAAACCGATCTGCATTATAATGGAATTTGTTTCCGGTGGTTCTTTTAACGTTTACCTCAGATCTCAGCGACCGAATTTAACTAACAAAAGGCTTCTTCATTTCGCCCATGATATTGCTAAGGTTTGTAATTGAATAATAATTATAATACTACAACTTCTTCATTACTATCTCATTACTATTGCAGGGTATGAATTATTTGGCGGAAAAGAAAATTATCCATAGAGATTTGGCAACACGAAACATATTGATCGAAAAGGACAGAGTGAAAATATCTGATTTCGGTTTGGCGCAATTAGCAAATTCCGAGGGTTATTATTTTGTACAAAACCAAAGGGATTTACCCATAAAATGGTATACATATAACATTATCCAAAATTCAATATATATATTTAATATCTCTCACAGGTATTCACCAGAATCGATAGCGGAAGATAAGTATTCCGTATACTCTGATGTATGGTCTTTTGGCGTGACTATGTTTGAGACTTTTTCTAGAGGAGATATTCCAAATCTCGCTGGAAATCCAGAGATGAAAGCCGAAGAGTTTCTAGAACGGCTTCAGAAGGGAGAAAGGTACATAT